GCCCCTGCCTCTGCTGCTGCCGGCCTGCCTGGCGGTGGGGGCCGCCCCTGTGCCCACCACGCCCATCGACATCCAAGTGCAGGAGAACTTCGAGGTCTCTCGGGTACGGCCGGGCCCCTTGCGGTGGTGGTTGCAATGGTGGGGTATCCGGCAGCTGGGCCTTGCTGGGTGTGTCCTGCCGGTTTGGGGCTCAGTCTTACCCCCTGGAGACCCAGTGGTCAGCCCCTAAAGGCCCTTTCTGCTGGCTGGGACCATCTGGAATTCTGGGTTCTTGGGAACCAGCAGTTAGCGTAATGGCTATGTCGCTGGACTCCCATGTAGTCGACCACAGTTCACGTCCCGGATCCGGTGGCTTAAAACTCACGTCGGGCGCGTGTGCGTGCGTGCCCAAGATCCCGAGAGGAGAATGGGGAAGAAGGGATAGCGGCGTGGCCATCCCCCCTGGGGGGTGATTTCTCACTTTCTGTCTCTGTGTCTCTCTCTGTCTGTCTGGCGAGCACACGCACCCTATAGTGAAAACCTCTCCAAAAAAAAAAAAAAAAATTCTGGGTTCTCTGAAGCCCTTCCTCTATTCATCTTCATTATACACGCCCTGTCCAATTCCCGGGGAGATCCACGATTCGGTGAAAATCAACCCATAGAAGGCTCTGTGCTGACCGCAGTGGCCCCTGCAGCCCTCAACACAAGCCTCTAGCTTTTCCTGAACATCCTGGCCCACACCTTCCCTGCCCCCTTCTTTAACACCTCCCCCACACCTGCAGCATCTTTGGTCAGCACATCCCGGACCCTCTGCCTTCCACTGGCTGCAGAGACCCAGTGAGGCCCAGGGCGACCTGAACCCTCCAGCTTTGGGACTGGGTACTCGGCACTTTGAGAAGTGATGGAGGTCAGGGACTCATGGGGATGAAGAGCTTGGGCTTGGGAAGAGTCCTGGCTTGGGGAGGGGAGGGCGCTGTGTGTGTGTGTGTGTGTGTGCGTGTGTGCGTGCACATGTATGTGCGTGTGTGTGACCCGAGAGCTGCCTGCCCTGAAGCAGTGGGTGACATTGAGCCACACCTTGCCCATGGGACTCGGTCCTCTCAGACCCATCTAGCTGTGGCATTGTGGATTTTGTTCGCTTTAGAGGCAAGGAAGGGGTGTGGGCGGAGGGGCAATGGGGACCAGGGCCTTGTGGTAGTCCGGGAAGGCCATGCTGCGAGAACATGAGTGAGGCCCTTTCAACTCCAAGGGGCATGGGGAAGAAGAGGCCAGGGCTTGTCCTGCTTGGCCTGTAGGGTTCATTAAACCCCCACTGCCCTTCCTAACATGGAACCGCGGCTGCCCTATGAGTGGTAAGCCCCCGTCACCGAGGGGGTAAAAGGCACGCCAGCTCTCGGGGAGCTGGTTGCTGACCTCAGAGTAGAAGGATCTGAACGCTGTACAAAATGATCCCACATCTCTGCAGAGAAGGGCCTCTGCAGGGCAGGAGGGGACCCCTTGCATACCTCCTTCCTGCGCTTCCAGCCACTCCTCCACCCTTGGGGCTCTGCCCTCCCGTGAATTAACACCAGACGTTCTCACATGGTGAGGGGTGGGGAGCAGCTGTCGCCTCTTGGGCACTGAGGCTCACCCCGATGCCCAGAGCTGGTGGTGTCTCCTAGATCTTCGGGAAGTGGTTCAATGTGGCCATCGGCTCCACCTGCCCATGGCTGAAGAGGATCTTCCGAGACAAAATGGCTGTGAGCACGCTGGTGCTAGGAGAGAGTGCCACGGAGGCGGAGATCAGCATGACCAGCACTCGCTGGCGGTGAGTGTGGGGTGGGCTGCGGGGCCATGAGGGACAGGGCCCCCCATCATCCTGGCCCTGCCCTGGAAAGTTCCAGATCTCTGCTTCCAGCCAGCTCCTTGCCTCTGGGTCCCACATCCCTCTACCACTCCCCACCAGGAAGGCCTTCCTAATGTCCTACCTAGACCTCCAGGGCCAGGCCCATCGTGCTGTTGGTAACCTGCTCCTCCTCCTTGGCTGCTCCTTAGATCAGAATGGGCACTTCCACCTCCCAGGGAAATGCACCCCTCACCAGCCATTCAATCCATCATCATCATCAAGCTTTTTTCCCAAGTCCCTCTCCACCACCACTGGCCCCACCAAACCACCTTCCTTTCTTCCTGGTTGTCTAGGATAATCTTTGTACTCTTCCTCCTACTGCTGAGCTTGAGCCTTCCATCAGTTCATTGTTGGCCAGCAGCCAGGACCTTTCGAAAACTCAAATCTGCTTAACACCGGCCATAGCTCTCCACCACCCTCAGAGTAAGGTTCGAATCCTGTGATGGGACTTTCGAACCCTTCCCAGCACTCACCAGTCCCTGTCCACACTCTCCCTGGTACTCTGTAACCCCCCAAGGGGATCTCCTTTCTGTTCCCAGCACTCTCCACCTCCCCACACCTCCAAGCCTCTGGACCTGATGTTCCTTGTCTGGAAACACCTCTCTCTACTTCTCTGGCTGAGTCCTGTGGACTCTTTGAGATTCCTGCACCATGTCCCTCGGTCCAGGAAACCCTCTCTGAGCCCCAGGTACAGGGTACAGGCCCTCCTCTTGCTCTCTAAGCACCATGTGGCCCTTAGCACATCGACTGCCTCTGTCTCTGGCTGCCTGCCTGCCCACAGGCTATAAAGGCCACAGGGGCTGGGGTCTGCCTTGCCGTAAGCCCTACACATAGCACAAAGCTCGACTTGCAGACCTGCTTTGCTCACCATGTGAGGTAGAAACTATCATTATCCCCATTTTAAAGATGAGGAAACCGGGGCAAGAGAGAATGGAATACTATGCAGCCGTAACAAAGGGGAAATCTAGTCCTTTGAGGTTAAACAGGTGAGCCAGGAGGACGTTATATTAAGTGAAAGAAGTCAGGCATGGAAAAGGGCACATGAAGAGACACGTGTTCTCCCACATATGTGGATATGGGGGTAAATGACCTCATAGAAGAGAGGTGAAAAATGACTGCTAGGGACAGGGGAGGAGAGAGGGGCCGGGCTGGAGGGATGCCAGCTAATGGGAACGAAGTTACAGATAGGAAAGAGAAACAACGTCAGAGAGAATATAGTGAGCAGCACATAACTTGCTGGGCTTCTCAGTAGCCCCAAAAGAGGACTCTGAATGTTACTGCCGTAAAGCAATGACAAGTGGCGAGCTGATGTATGTACTAAGTACCCTGATTTAATCATGATGCATTGTATTCTCATTTATTTATTTATTTATTTATTTATTTGGAGAGGTTTTTACTATAGGACACATGCGCTCGCCAGAAAGGCAGAGAGAGACAGAGAGACAGAAAGCGAAAAATCACCCCCCAGGGGGGATGGCCATGCCGCAATCCCTTCTCCTCCATTCTTGTCTTGGGATCTTGGGCATGCACGCACACGCGCCTGGCGTGATTTAAGCCCCCCTGGTCCAGGACTCGAACAACGGTCAACTACATGGGAGTCCAGCGATACAGCCATTACGCCAAATGCTGGCCCCAATACACTGTATTCTCGTACAGATTCACTTTGGTACCCCCACAATATGCACAGTTTTTACACGTTAACAATAAAAAAGAGCGAGCCATAGAGTGACCCAAGCATCAGTGCGCAGTTGGATCGCTCCGGCTCCCCGAGAGTCAGTACAATGTGCAGATTGGACTCAGGAAGGTGATCTCTGGCTTTGTAAGAGGATGGTGTGGAAGCCCCTCTTTCTCCCCATAACTGGTGTGAGGATTACACAAGCTTTTTGGCAATGTTCATTTCCAAGTTATAAAAACACACAGAGGCCAGCAGGCGACACAGTGGGTAAGGTGCTGGACTTCCACATGGCCAACCAGGGTTTGAATCCCAGACCTGGTGGCTTGCTTTCTCACTTTTCCTCCCTCTGCCTCTGTTTGTATCTCTCTCTGGTGAGCACACACGCCTTACAGCCAATTTTAAAAATAACAATAATAATTAATTAAATTAAATAACTAATTCTTAGAAAAACGAAAACAAACAAGCCCCCAAGACATTTGCAGAGAGCCCTGCAGGAAGGGAGGGTACCAAGGTCCCCGTCTCGGCTGAAGTTACCTCCCTTTGGCTTGTACATTTCCAGGAAAGGTGTGTGCGAGGAGATCTCTGGGGCATACGAGAAAACAGATACTGATGGGAAGTTCCTCTACCGCAAGCCCAGTAAGTAGAGTGGAAAGAGATGGCCCGGCTCTCTCCTTTACTCAAGAGGACCTCGACGTCTGGGCTCTCCCTCCCTCTGCCTCAGCCCTCTCCTCTGGCCTTCCTCCAAATTACTCCTCTTTCTTCCTCCCTCTCCCGACTCCTTCTCCGCCCCTTCCCCCACAGAGGCCAGCAGGCGACACAGTGGGTAAGGTGCTGGACTTCCACATGGCCAACCAGGGTTTGAATCCCAGACCTGGTGGCTTGCTTTCTCACTTTTCCTCCCTCTGCCTCTGTTTGTATCTCTCTCTGGTGAGCACACACGCCTTACAGCCAATTTTAAAAATAACAATAATAATTAATTAAATTAAATAACTAATTCTTAGAAAAACGAAAACAAACAAGCCCCCAAGACATTTGCAGAGAGCCCTGCAGGAAGGGAGGGTACCAAGGTCCCCGTCTCGGCTGAAGTTACCTCCCTTTGGCTTGTACATTTCCAGGAAAGGTGTGTGCGAGGAGATCTCTGGGGCATACGAGAAAACAGATACTGATGGGAAGTTCCTCTACCGCAAGCCCAGTAAGTAGAGTGGAAAGAGATGGCCCGGCTCTCTCCTTTACTCAAGAGGACCTCGACGTCTGGGCTCTCCCTCCCTCTGCCTCAGCCCTCTCCTCTGGCCTTCCTCCAAATTACTCCTCTTTCTTCCTCCCTCTCCCGACTCCTTCTCCGCCCCTTCCCCAGCCTCTCTCTCTCTCTCTCTGGTGAGCACACTCAGAACAGGGTGCTGGTTCTGGTTTGCTCAGTCTTCATGTCTTGTCAGGCACCTGCAATCATCCAGTAAAATCTACTAAGATCCCCAGGTATAGGGTGCTAAGTGGCAGAGGCATTTGGACGTGACGTTGTTCATGAAATCAGAAGTGTGTACGCATGCGCTCCAGGTGCTGATGGTGTTAGGGCTGAACGTGTGCGTGTTTGGACGGGTGGGTGGAGAGACCGAGAAGTGAGCGAAGAAGTACACGCCTGGTAAAATGAATACGTGGCCGGACGGCAGAGAAAAGTCAGTTATCTAGTAGGCAAACTGGTGGAGTGATTGAGGAAAGAAGGGAGGGAAGGAGAGAGGACGGGAGGCAAGATGAATTTATGAACAAAAGTATTCACAGGGTGGACAAATAGTGGCAAAGTGATGGATGTATGAAGGAAACAGATGGACAGATAGACTGAAGGTGGATGAACGGATGAATGGACAGACAGAAGGAACGGGCAGACAGGTGGATGGATGGAGAGATGAGCGTGGGTGAGATTGATGTGGGTCTCCAGCTAGAAGAGCCTTCTGACCGCCGGCCCTTTGGTCTTCCTGCATTTCCCATACAGAATGGAACATGACCATGGAGTCCTATGTGGTCCACACCAACTATGATGAATATGCCATTTTTCTGACCAAGAAAACCAGCCGCCGCCATGGCCCCACCATTACGGCCAAGCTCTATGGTAAAGACCTGTCACTAGATGAGGTCGCTGGAGATAAGGGTGGGAAGAAATGGTTGTTTGTTTTTAAAGAATTATTTTATTTAACTTTATTTACTTATTTTAATTTGGCCAGAGAGGCACAGAGTGATGAGAGAGAGAGAGGAGAGAGAGAGAGAGAGAGAGAGCAAGAGCCACCAGGTCCAGAACTTGAACCATGGTTGACCATGTGGGAGTCCAACGCCCATAACCAGCACACCATCTGCTGGTCCCGAAATGGATGTTTTAGGACAACAGAGTGGGGAAGTGCATGGAGTTTTGCTTTTTCTTTCTGACAAAACTCCAATGGGAGGAAAGATGCAGGCATGAGTCTCTCTGGAAGAATTTGAACTCGGGTCGATGGTCTCCCATTTGATGTAGAATCCTCTTTTGATCTTTTAAACTCCAGACTCAGAGGATTCCTGTGTCTCTAAGCCTTTAAAAGGACCAGTGGAAAGAGCCCTGTTGGAGACCCAGGAGCCTTGGGTGGGAGCCTGGGAGGGCCAGGTCTTCCTCTTTGAGATCCTGTCTTTCCATAAGTATGTCAAGAAGATTGACTTGGGCCAATAGCTTCCAAACTTTCCCTAAACAAAACCACTGGGCAGAATTATCTCAGGCCCCCTGGCCCAGGCACCAGGTGGTTCCAGGTGTCCCATCTGCTTCCCACATGCAGGGCGGAAGCCACAGCTGAGGGACAGCCTCCTGCAGGAGTTCAGGGAGCTGGCTCTGGGTGTGGGCATCTCCGCCGACTCCATCTTCACATTGGCCGACAAAGGTAAATGGCACCCCCTCCTCACCTCAGATTTCTGTCCCCTCCTCATTCCTCATGGCCCCCAGAGAACATGCTAGCCTCTCAGACTTCCTGGCACATAGCTGCTGGCACGACACCCACCTGGCACTAGAAAAGACACCGTTCTGGGTCTGGGATTGCCCCAGCCTGGTCCTCTTATTCACTCCTGTCTCCTGTCCTGCAACCTAGGCGAATGTGTCCCCGGGGAGCAGGAACCTGAATACACCCCACTGTCGGTGAGTGCCTGGCGCCCAGCTCCATGCCCACCCTGCCCTGCCTCAGGCACTCTGCATGCTGGCTTCTGCAGGCCTTGCTCCGGCTGCCAGGGTGGGAGACAGACATGGAGAAGGGCTAAGAGAAGGGGGCGATGGGTGTGAGATCAAAGTCGGGCCTACTTGGGCGTGATCTTGGTTCTGCCACGTGGGCTAGCTGTCCCTCATCCGAACCTCACTTTTCTCATCTGAGAAATGGGATAATTATGCCGGGCCATCCTGGGCTGTGCTAGAATTCAACACATTTGAAAAGCTTTTGGCATAATGCCTAAAAGTACTTTAAAAATCAATGCAGGCAACACTGAAATAACAATATTCAATCATGAACTACTAATGCTCCGTGCATGCAGATGAAGTAATCTGATTACCCTAAAAACTAACAAGCTCGAAAACAGCTGCGTCTCTCTCAGACCAGCACCTCTCCTCGCTGCCTTCTGACTGGGGGACTTCTTTACTTTCCCTTTTATTTTCCTGCCTTTTGCCACACTGATGGCATATTCTTCTTTCTTTATTTCTCTGATTATTTGGGGGTTATATATCCAAGTTTATGCCACCATTGTGTAAATATCCATGCATGTATATATAATGTATATATGTGTGTATGCATCTATATAGATATGTAATGCTTACTTAGAAACATATTTTTTTTTAAGTTTTTGCCATAAGGCATGTATACTTGCCAGAGAGAAATGAAGGAAAGTCAGACATCGCCCCTGGGGCAGGGGAATGGCCACACCACTATCCCTTCTCCTTCATTCTCCTCCTGAGATTTTGGGCATGCACACACACACACACACACACACACACACACACACCCCTGGTGTGATTTTCAAGCTGCCGGGTCTGGGACTCAGACTGTGGTCAGTCATATGGGAGTCCAGCACCTTAACCACTACGTTACCTGCTGGCCCTAGAAACAGAGTCTTGAGAATAGAAAAAAAAAAAAAAAAGAAATAAAAGAAGATAAGAATGTCCTTATTCTTATGGATCTGACACTATTAACATATATTTATCTCTATATGTTTTAAGAAAAATTACCACTGAGCTTATAAAATTAATATATGCTCATTATAAGAATTACAACAATGTAGAAAAGTACAAAGATGAAGAACAGGTTGTTTTTCAGTTTGTTTGTGTTTTTAATTTTCCCCACTGGGGTCTTTCATTTGTAGTTCACTCATTCATTTGGTTTTTGCTAGAGGGCGTGTGTGCTTGCCAAAGACAGAAACAGCGAGAGAGAGGGAGAGAAGAACCCCCTATGGAGATGGTCACACTGCAATCCTGCTCCATCTCTCCCCCCCTTTTGGATTTTGGGCACACATGCACACGCACCCAGTGTCTTTCTCAAACTCCTGGGCCCAGGACTTGAACCATGTGGTCAGCCATGTGAGATGCAACTGCCTTTACCCCCAGTCCATGGAGTTAGTCCAAGATAAATAAAAGTATTTTCCTTCCTTCCTTTTTTTTTTTTTTTTTTTTTTTTTCAAATCCCATCACCCTGAGCCAGCAGGTAGCATGGTGGTTAAAGTGCTAGACTCTTACGTAGCCGTCCATGGTTTGAGTCTGATGTTTCCTCTCCTTGTAGGCAATTTGTTGCTTCTGCCCAGATACTGGGAACAATTTTTCCGTCATTGAAGTTACCATGTTAATAAACCATATCTTGGTTTTAAAGATTCTAATTTCCTGGTTTACAGTGTATTCTTTCTGTATACAGATTATACTTCCCCCCATAGTTCAGGGAAATTTCTTGCTCAATATCAGTCAATTCATCTTCCATTCCCTTCGTTGGGTTTTGCTTCCATGGACGCACTCATTCTCCCACCCAGGAGCATCTTTGTCTTCTACATCTGCTACTTTTTTTTTTTTTTACTGTTGTTTTTATCTCTGTCCTTTTCATTTTGTTCACTAGGATTACCACCATTCTCTATACAATGACAGTTATTCGTCTGTCTCTTACTATTTCTATTTCTCATTCATTTGCGGGCTTGAATATATGTAGTTTCAGTTCTCAATTTGTTTAGTTGTGTCTGGATTTTCTCTTTTCATGTTATTCTGTTGCTTAACACTTCATCTTTGAGACTTGTTTAAATATCACATTGTTGGGAAGATCATGACACATTTTTGCATAGAAAAAACATGTCATGACTTTTGCGGTGACCCAATAAATGTGTGCTCTTTTTTTTTTTTTTTTGATGAGGTTTTCACTACAGGGCGCGTGCACTCGCCAGACAGACAGAGAGAGACATAGAGACAGAAAGCGAGAAATCACTCCCCAGAGGGGATGGTCACGCCACAATCCCTTCTCCTCTATTCTCCTCTTGGGGTCTTGGGCACGCACGCACACATGCCTGGTGTGAGTTTTAAGCCACTGGGTCTGGGACGCGAACCGCGGTCGACTACGTGGGAATCCAGCGATACAGCCATTATGTTAACTGCTGGTTTCCATAAATGTGTATTCTGACTAAGGAATTCTGTATCTTGGAGCCATGGAGAATTTTCTTCTCTATCTTAAGTTCTGTTTTCTTCTGGCATCGCTGGTGAAGGGACGAAAGCGAGACTGTCCAGAAGGAGAAAGCGAGCTGTGATGCAGGCGTGATGCCTCTCCCAGCCCTACTGGACCTCCAAGACTGGGATGCTCCTTCAGTGTCGGCCCAAGATGGTGCAAAGGGGCAGGACCTTATTACCCTTTGTTGATCTGTTCAGAAAACCACGATCTTGGGCAAGAGGGCTTTGTTTTATTTGATTTTATTTATTTATTTATTTAGCTATAGGGCAGGTGCACTTACCTGGGAGAAACAAAGAGAGAGAGAGGAGGGGAAGTGAGAAAGCACCCCATCAAGGGGGGTGGCCACGCCACAATCCCTTCTCCTCCATTCTCTTCTGGGGATTTTGGGCACAGACGCACACAAGCCTAGCATCATTTTCAAGCCACCAATCTGGGACTCTAAACACACGGTCAGTCATGTGGGATACAGCCACCTTAACCTCCCTGCTACCTGCTGGCTCAGGGCTGCTGAGGGGAAACACAGGTAGTTCCTAACAGTGTCCACCAGAGGTGGGCTCTTGATCTGGTTCGGTTTGTTTATTCCCTTCTGAGGTGGACTTGGGTACTTTTCCCTTTACGTCACTCCTCCTCAGTCATCTTTATGCAGACTTCTGGCTTGTTCTGAGGTGGTGGGGGTAAGGGTTATTTATTCCTTAGCTCTCTTCCAACTTACTTTGAGCCTAACGCTTGTCCCACACTACTTTAAAGTGTGGGTGTTTTGTGTTCATCGACTTCCCTGAAGTCCCAGAGGGAGGTGGAGAAGGAGGGGAGAAGGGCCATCCTAACGTGCACCATGTTGGTTCAAATACCCTGGACTAGTTTTCTAGGACAGCCGTCACAAACTACCACAGCGGATGGTGTATGTCTCGTGGTTCTGGAGGCTTCAAGTTTAAGATCCAGGTGTCAGCAGGGCAGGTTCCTTCTGAGGGCTGTGAGAATAGTCTATTCTATACCTCTCACCTGGCTTCTGGTAGTTTGCTGGCAATCTTTGCTCCTTCTTGGCTCACGGAAGGATCACCTCAATCCCTCTCTTTATCTCCAAATTTCCCCCTTTCATAAGGACACCACTTGCATTGGCGAGGGCCCATCCTAATGACCTCATCTCAACTTAATTATATCTGCAGCAATCTTCTTTCCAAATAAAGTCATCTGAGGTTCTAGGAGTTAGGAGTTCAGTATATGAATTTCGAGGGGACACAATCCAATCTATTTCCTATGCCTCTCTTTTTGTCCCCTAAGAATTATTTATTTACTTTTATTTATTATTATGAATTCTTAATTTGACCAGAGAGAGAGGGAAAGTGAGGAAGCAAGCCACCAGGCCCAGGACTCGAACCAGGGTCAGCCATGTAGGAGTCCAGAGCCTTAACCACCATGCCACCTGCTGGCCCTGGCCCCATGGCCTTCACTTCAATTTGATATGAGCTCTAGTCAACTTTTTGCCCTTTTTTTCCTAGAAGCCATGCTCACTTCTCTTCTGTCAGGAAAGGGAAAATGCCAGCTGCCCTTCAACTGTCTTCTCTCTGGTTTTGGAAGTGTTAGGAAGGATTGCAAATTGGATGACATCCCCATACTGGAGGTGGGAGGGCAGAGCTGAGAGCTCCACTTGCTGAACCATTCTGTTCAGTGCTGTGGCTTTCAAGCCAGTCTGGGACCCAAACCATGGAGTTGGTCAGCCATGTGGGATCTAGTTGCCTTAACCTCTATGGCACCTTCTGGCTTAGGTAGAGAACTTTTGAAGGGAGTTTCCGTCTGCCATACATTTTTTAAAAATAATAATAATTATTATTTTTAATTTGACAAGAGAAGGAGAGAGAGAGACAGAGACAGAGAAAGTGAGAGAGTAAGCTGCCAGGTCTGAGACTCAAACTGTGGTCAGCCATGTGGGAGTCCAGCACCCCAATCACCATGCCACCTGCCAGCCCCCAGTCTGCCGTCTTAATCCAGATGTCAACTAAATCTTTATTTCTTTGTCAATGTCAAGAATGAAACAGTGGGACCGGCAGATGGTGCAATGGTTATATCGCTGGACTCCCATGTAGTCGATCATGGTTCAAGTCCCTGACCTGGTGGCTTAAAACTCACGTCAGGTTTCCCACATCCCTGTTTTTGTGGATATGATCTAATATTAATGTTGACACTTTCCTCCTTTTAAAAAAAGAATTGTTTTTTAATACTTACATTAAATTGCATAAACAATTTAGCAAGTATTTATTACTTCGCTCTGCATTTATTGGCTTCGCAGTTTACCATCATTCCCTTGCTGTCATAGGAACAATTTTGGCATTTAGATTCCCTTCTCAGTCCAGCAGGGGGCGTGGTGATTAGAGTGCTAGATCCCACATGGCTGAATTTGTGGTTTGAGTCCCAGACACAGTGGCTTGAAAAACAGACTGGGTGTATGTGCATGTGTGCCCAGAATCCTGAGAGGAAAATGTAGGAGAAGGGATTGCAGCCTGGCCGCCCACCAGAAGGGCAGTCATTTCTCACTCTTCTTCTCTGTCTCTTGTCAGCATGGTGTATGGCAAAATTCTGGGGGAAAAAAAAAACACATTTTTTTCAGGACCAGCAATTGGTGTAATGGTTATGTCGCTGGACTCCCATGTAGCTGACCGCGATTCAAGTCCCAGACCCAGAGGCTTAAACTCACACCAGGCACGTGTGCGTGCATGCCCAAGATCCCGAGAGGAGAATAGAGAAGGGATTGCGGCATGACCATCCCCCCGGGGGGTGATTTCTTGCTTTCTATCTTTCTGTCTCTCTCTTTCTGGCGAGCACATGCACCCTATAGCAAAAACCTCTCCCCCCAAAAAATATTTTTTTCCCCTTCTCAATTGGTGGAAATATTTCTATAAGTACGTTTTTCAGGAAAGATACATGGGGGTTGGGACCAGCAGTTAGCGTAATGTCTATGTCGCTGGACTCCCACGTAGTCGACTGCGGTTCGCGTCCCGGACCCAGTGGCTTAAAACTCACGCCAGGCGCATGTGCGTGCGTGCCCAAGATCCCAACAGGAGAACGGAGGAGAAGGGATTGCAGCGTGGCCATCCCCCCTGGGGGGTGATTTCTCGCTTTCTATCTCTCTGTCTCTCTCTGTCTGCCTGGTGAGCGCACACTCCCTATAGCAAAAAAACTCTCAAAAAAAAAAAAAAAGAAAAGATACATGGGGGGAAATTTCTGGACCTGCTCTTCTTTCTCTGTTTAGATCTTTCTTTGAATCAGAAATTGTCTTTTACTATTTCCAAATTGATAGCCTCTCCTTCTGTAATTCCTATTATGCAGACTCCTAGAGTATCCAGACCCCCGTTTATCTCCATTATGTGGTCTAACTCAGCATCTTTCCCATCTCCGATAATGCTCTACGTTTCATGCATTATTTATTTCTGCCACTGTTGACTCCTATTACATTGAAGCCGTCGCATCTTGAATTTCATTGGTGGTTTAAGTTTTCTCTTATTTCTTCCTGTCATCATGAGTTTAGTGGGGATATTTTTTCTCCTTGAACAGGTGCGCCATTTAATTTGTCTCATATTTTTCCTCCATTTCTCCATCCTTCCCCAGGATGACACCAACTTAAGATGAGTCTGGCAGAGGGAGTCTCTGTTCAGTTGCACCTTCAAAGGAGAATAGAAAGTTTAACGTTACAACTTGTTCAAGTCCCACATCTCACCTGCGGGCAGGAAGGCTGCCTAGAGGTTTGCAGGTTGCCCGATCTTCCCTTCTCTAACAGCCCTGGGGTCCTGCCTCAGGGGACACTACATCCCAGTGATCTCGACAGCGTTGGCAGCCGGCTCTGTTCTACTGTTCCCACTGCCACAGGCAGCTCTGTCAACAAGAGATCCCTTCTTAATCTTCAGATGGGTTTTTCCTTTGCAAACAACGCAGGATGGTCTAGTCAGCCCTTCCTGCAACTTAATAGTGCCCGCACTCTGTCACGTGACAATGCCTTCTCATTTCCAGCATGGGGAAGCAGCCGTTCCCTGCTCTTCAACTTGGGACTAGGTTCTTTTCCATTATTATCTCTTTGTAGGCATTTCAGCTGGGAGTTGGAGACGAGGGCATTGCTATACCTCATGGTTCTGGTGTTTATTTTAGACCAGAATGTATCCCGTGATGCCCATTCTGGAATTCAGGTAGCTGCTTTTGGGAAAATAGCCCATCAACCTGTCTCAGAGCTGTGCTTCTGGCCACACCCTATTCCCAAAGCAAATGGTTTTTCGAAATATATTCCAGGGCTACAGGTGAGCAGTCATGCAAGGTCTCTGCAACAGCTTCTTCTCTTTCTCCCCTGCCCCCCAGAGAGCTCGGCGGGATGTGCTACCACCAGAAGATGAAGGCTCAGGAGCCGGGCAACAAGTGATTGACTTCAAGAAAGAAGGTAATGGACGCCTGGAGTTTTTCTGTCTTCTGTGGCCCTCGGCGAGGAAGGGCCGTGGATAGCTCTCTGAGACTGCACTCATTGTCAGAAGTCTCTTTATCTCTCTGTTCGAGACTCAAAGACTGGGCCAAGAAAAGGCAAATCAATACTCTGCTCTGCGCCAGGGCTTGTGGGAGAGAGAGAAGCTTCGAGCGTGGTCCTGAGCTTCTGAGCTCTCAGCTCCATGATGAGAAGCCAGTTCTTCCCTCAGCCATGTGACTGTGTGACCACCTCGCCTCGGTTTCCTCATCTATAGTACGGGTAATAGGCTGCGGGGCTGGCCCTCAGGGCTCCTGTAGGCACATGGGGAGGAAGGAAGTGAGGAAGCCTTGTGTAGCTGACAGTGTTCACAAAAAACTCACTCTTGAGGGACCAGCAGTTAGCGTAATGGCTAAGTCGCTGGACTCCCATTGCAGCCAACCACAGTCCCGTCCCAGACCCGGTGGCTTAAACTCACACCAGACACGTGTGCATGCATGCCAAAGATCCTGAGCGAATGGAGGAGAAGGGATTGCAGTGTGGCCATCCCCCCGGGGGGTGATTTCTCACTTTCTGTCTCTCTGTCTCTTTCTGTCTGGCAAGCACATGCGCTCTATAGCAAAAACCACTCCAAAAATTTTTTTAAAAAAACTGCAATGCAAATATTAGTTTTTTGTTTCTTATTTTTTTGTGGTGGGGGGAGATTTTATAAATTCTCATTTAATTTTCTGAGACAGTAAGCGTATGGAGTGAGTGACATGCAGACTTGTGAAATATCAAATTTTTAGTGTTTCTTTTTCTCAAAATTGTACACTTAAACCAAATCCTGTAAATCTGAAGTGCAGAAATTTAGAATTTTCTTTTAGGGGAAAAAAAACCAGATACTTATTTTATAGAGAAAAAATCATTTAGTGTAAAATTACAGTTTTATTGTTTGTTTTTTGTTTTTTTTTTTTGCAAAGAACTTTATTAACTTCTGTTTCCAACTTTATTCCCAGGCTTCTT